GGCTCCAATAGACTATGCACTTCTTCCGCCTCTTCAACGAAAACGCGTTTCCTTAACTGACCTCAGTACAAAGTTCTCGAATGGCACCCAGGTAGGCGAGATGCTCACGGCTAGGAAGCTTGTCCCTAGCAGGATCTGAAAGGATCTTGTCCCTAGCAGGATCTGAAAGGATCTGCTGCAGCATGCTGAGCTCTATGCGTATTAGGAGTGAGGTGTGTTGGCTACTAAAGGTGTTTTTATTCCTGTGTTTCTCATGTAATTGGAAATCCAATTAAACACTAGTTGAATTAGTGATGTGTAAGTGCAAAAACAGTTTGTGTTTTCATGAGAGGCAAGCTAAGTGCTTTGCAATGACTCAAGGAATATAAATCCCTAAAAACATTTCCCTTCCATTAGGTGTGGGTGATCCAAAAGAATGGGAGGGAAAAAAAATAACTAAAGGGTGCCCTCTAATTGCTTTGCACAGTCTTATAGTTCTTGCTCCACTTTAAAGAAAAGGACTCCGATAACCCTACAAAATGCATAATGGGGGTGTTTAATGCCAGATAATGCACTCAATCAGCAGACCCAGAAATATGACTTATAGATGAAAGGAGAGTTAATAAAGATTAATTTGTTCTGATTTTTGTTTTAACTGACAATTAAAGCCCAGCACGGAATGGTGGTGTCCTGGTGTCTTGTTAAATAACTTCTTTCCTATTCTGAGGTCTTAGGACTATCCTCCAGACCCCCTTTAAGATTACAGTTCAATTTGGTTTAAAGTCTATAATCCATGGATATTTTGTGCATGGTGTGAGACAGGGATCCATTTTAATTTTTTCTTCCATATGGAGAATCTGGTGTCTAAACATCATTTATGAAAAATGTAATCCTTTCTCCAAGGATCAGAAATGCCATCTCTTCCCATGTCAAGTTTCCATAAGTGTGTGGGTGTTCCTGGACTCTCTTCTCTGTTCTATTAATCATCTGGCATACCCCAGAGCAAATGCTCAGGAGAAATAGATTTTTAGTGGTTACTATTTATGAGTTTTTAACATGAATGAGTGTTTAATTTCATCAAATAAATTTTCTACATCTATTTTGATGTTTGTATGGAGTTTCTCTTTAATCTATTAACATGCTCAATGATATTTGTAAATTTTTTTAAATGTTAGATCACCCTTGTCTTTCCCGGAATAAACCCAAATTGGCCATGATATATTATCTATTTTCTACATGACTGCATGTGGTTTGCTAATATTTGGCCTAAGAACTTGTACATCTGTATTTATGAGCAAAACTAGACTCTAGTTTTCCTTTTTTGTAACTCTCCTTGTGTAATTTCAGTATTGAGAACATTCCTGTTTCACTGAACAGGTTAAAATGTATCTCTCTATTCCTACTCTCTGGAAGAGTTTAAGGTTGGAAATATCTTTTGATTAAAAAAAAAAGATAGGAATTATTTCTTTGTAGACCTAAAGGGACTGTTTTCTTGGTGAGGTTTAGTGTGGTAATATAACATTATAACATATACACACCCACACACACATATATATATATATATATTTAAATCAGTTTTGGTAAATTCTACACTTCTAGGAATTTGTCTCTTTCATGTAAGTTTTCAAGTATATTGACATAATGTTGCTCACATTATTTGATAGTCTCTGTTATTCTGCTTTATGTATTGAGTTGAAAGCTCCACAAACGGACAGAGCATTTAATCTTTGCTGTATTCCTAGAACTCAGAAGAATTGCTGGCTCAGGCACAGTTAGAGACAGCGTCGATGAATCTGGATTCATGCCACCCCATTCATTTCCTGGTAAGTTCTTTCTTTCTTGATAAGTCCTGCCATAGCTTTGTCTATATTATTGGTCCCTGTCAAAGAACCAACTTTTGACTTTATTGAATAATTGGTTAATCAATTTCTGCTCTTACCTTCTTTATGTCCTGCTTCTAGTTTCCTTCGAATATGCTCCAACGTTCTTTGTATATCATCCTCCGTGGTAAACCAGGCATATTATTTTTTTCATTTTTTCTTCTCTTAATACAAACATTTAAGGTTTTCTATTTCCCTACATGTTTACTCATTCCACTAATTTTGACACATATTATTTCATCTTCATTTAGTCTCTAAGAAGTTTTCAGTTTCAATTATGATTTCCATTTAGAACCATGTGGAATTTAGAAATGGGTTCTCAATTTTAATAAAATATATATTTTTTATCTTATTGTTATAGCCTTCTAATTTAATTATTATTTTTTTTTTAAAGAGAGAGTGAGAGAGAGGTAGAGAGAGAGAGAGAGAATTTTAATATTTATTTTTTTTTAGTATTTGGCGGACACAACATCTTTGTTTGTATGTGGTGCTGAGGATCGAACCCGGGCCGCACGCATGCCAGGCGAGCGCGCTACCGCTTGAGCCACATCCCCAGCCCCCTAATTTAATTATATTCTGTTCAGAGAACTACGATATAGTATAATTCTATAAAATGTACTAGGATTTTGCTTTATAGTCCTATACATGGTAACATTTTTGCAAATGTTCTATGTGAGTTTGAGAAGAATGTACATTGTCTGACTTTTAAATACAAGGTTCTTCACTTGCCCAAGTGAAGTGGTTAACTGTATACTTCACATTTGCTATATTTTTATCAACTTTTTGATTGATCTTTCAGGACTTGGAAAGGACACATTAAAATATTTTACTACAATAGTAGACATGTCCACTTCTTTCTAGTGATCTGCGTGTATGTGGGTACAATTATGTTAAAATATATGAAAATTCATAAGTATATATATTTACATGCCTCTACACACATATATTTAAAGACACATGTGTTACAGCATGAAGTGCATCCAAATTTGAATTTTTGTCTTTTCCTTCTTATTAACTTTTTATTTTGAAGTGTGACCACCTCTCTCCCTACTGATGGTTTCTCTGACACCAACACAACTAGCCTGTTTCCTTTTAGACACTTCCCCTGATAATAATGTCCCATAATTTTACTGTCAGCCTTTTCAGATTACAATGAGAAGGGTATGTGGCTGGTAAACAGTGTATCCCAGATAACATTTTCTCTTCAATCTGAAGATTGGTCTTCTCATTACCACAATTAGTTTACATTTATTTGGTTATTGATATATTTGGACTTACTTCTATCATCTCAATTTCTAACCTTTTCTGTGCCCAATTTTTCCTATGCTTTTATTTTCACCTTCTTTTCTTGCATTCCTGTTTGTGTCTGTTTTTATAAAATGACTGCTCCAGGAACCAGGGACAAAGGCCGACTTCAGGTTTATGCCACTCTACCTTTTATCCATATTCCCAGCCACCAGGGGGCAGCATATCACCCCAGAGGCAAATGCTTTTGGCAGCAGCTCCTTGCTTAAATCTTACCCTTTTGAACTCACAGTCTACCATGGTTTCTGGTCTCTGTTTTCCTTACTTCATAGACAGATCTATGCTTTCAAAACAGTGTAAAAAACCAGTTTTAACCCAGCATTTTCATGTGTCCTTTATGGGGATGGTTTTATTTTCCTCCCCTCCAAACTTCTTAGTCCACAGTATTCATCAAAATATTCCTGTTTCATCTGTTTTCCGGAAGTCTAACAAGAACACAGGGTATACAAGGAACTGCGTATGTGTTGAAAGAATGAATGATGTGGATATTTCTGTTTTAAATACTTTCTAATTTTTTGCAATAAACGTGAAATATAGTAAAAAACAAAAGTTCTTTCTTTTGGCTCTGTGACTCCTCTCATGGGAAGGAAGACACACAGAAGGAAAGAGAAGGAAGCTGTTCATAACAACACAATTTGTATTTGTGAACACGTGAGAACAAGTAAGGGTTAGGGAGGTGGCTGAGTCATGGGTTATTATGGAACTAGTGGGCATACATGTTAGTACTGTGCAGCTGACCCAGAACGTGCTTATGATACAAAACAAGCAAGGGCAGAAAGAGAATTCAACGCACATTATGACCACAGATACGACATGGCACGCACAAGGACCAGGAGCCAACTGGAAACCCTGACTGACAACAAAGAGCCTTTTTCTTTTTAAAAACTTAAACTATGGTTCTTACAGTGTGCACGGGCAATGAATGTGAATTTTAAAGGAAGCAAACTCTTTAGGGATGTATGTTATCTACTCCTTCTCTGGTACTACTAGAGAGGCAAATCAGAATTAGTCAGGACTGTGTTCAGTTCCTGGTTCTGGAACTGAAGTTGACCATGGATAGTTGGTTAAGCCAGGGAAGATCAGAACCATCCAAAGCGAAGAATCATCAACTAAATAAATGGTGGTCCATTTGAGCCACGATTAGAATGGCTCGTTACGCAGCATTGTCTATAGTGCTAGATAACTGAGGCACCTTGTCTTTTTCTCTACAGACAGATCCTACCATGGTGCTCAGTACCAAGAGAGCCATGATGAAGATTCTTGTGTCACGGTCCCTTCTCAAGGAAGGGGAATGAGATGTATGCTTCATCCCATGTCTGATCCTCCCACACCTACCACAAGCACCACAGTAGCTGTCTTTTTTTTTTTTTACATCTATGTCCTTAACACATTTCTCACTCCCTCTATGCCATAAGGGACTTGGAAAAGGGAAGTTATTCACATCAGCATCTACAGCGCCTGGCACAGAGTGGGACTTTGTCACTTATTTTTCACTTGACTTAAATGAATGGATTTGGGGAGGTGACATGAACCAAAACAGCTGGCAGCAGATGGCAAGAAAAATAATCATACAAGCTGGTTCTTACTCCAGAGGTCTTTATGCTTTCCAGAAAGCCCAAACACACACACAAACACACACATGCACGCACGCGCACACACACACACACACACGCACACACACTTTGGAGCCCCCCTCTCTTTCACCAAGCTGCACACCAACCTCACAGCCAACTGTGCCCCCTCAACCCCCAAAGCAGCTTCCCTCTGCTCCCCAGGGCACCTCACCCTTCCCCTGGGGGTGGGGCCCACGCCCCGCGAGGCCTGTCTTGACCTTACCTTTAGATCAGAAACGTCTCTGTAGCACTGCTCGGAGCGGGTGTGGTCTGACAGCTGCACATTCCAGAAGCAGGGCAGCTGATACACCAGGAAGGGGTTCTGCTTGATGACGGCATTGAAAATATCCTGGGGAATAAGAGCCAAAGCGGGGTCAAGGCAGGCAGCGGGTTCGGCCTACGGTTCTGGCTCCCGAGGCAGCACGTCCCCTGTGGGAGGGCGCCCTGGGCATCCTGCCTGGGCACAGGACAGTTTGCACCCAGGACGCTTCTCTTGCCTGTTATCTCCAGAAACCAAGCGATGATGTTTGGATGGAGATAGGGATGCCGCAGGCCGACTGGCCGCCTGAGCATCAGGCAGGGAGCTCACGTGGGGGTGGACAAGGGAGCATCTTTCCTAGCTCCCTGGCATATAATAAATGAAGTCTCTTTTCCTCCCCCCCTACTGTCCTATCCAGGAGCCCAGAGTTATCCATTTGAGCCTCCCAGGGAGGAAACTATGTGGTGACAAGTTGCCCAACTCACCCAGGGGCTGAGACAAATTATAGATCCTCCCTTCCAGCAGCTTTTTCCTGGGGCATTGGGTGGGCTTGTGATGGATGCTGCTTACTCCTACAGGCCACAAGGCCAGAGTAGGCAGCCCCCCTTTCAAGGCCAAGTCTCCCTGGTCTCTGGACCAATCCCCTGTTTTGGGCTCCTCTCCAAGCTCTCTCAGGGACCACACTTATTAACCAGCATGGATGGTGGCACCAGGAGGTGAGTTATGGGCCTTTGCTACAGGACTTGGCTGACCTGACTATCCTCACTGGACACAGTCACACAATTGCTAGCTCTGGGGGACACACTCAGTCTTGGTGACCTGACTTACAACATGAGGATAATGGATGATGTCCTCTCAGGCTTAAGAGAGCACCCAAGTATTTTTTTTTTCTTTAACTCATTCATTATACTGTATCTCATTGTTGAAAAAAGGAAATCAGTTTCTGGCTATCTGAGAAATCCCAAATAGCAATGCTTAAAAAATAGAAAAGTTACCCTGCACAGTATCTGGTTTCCTCTGTATTAGAAAACTGCGTAGTTACGTGAGGATTCAGGCAACTGAACTTTGAACAGAAGCACGGAGATGAGCGCCATGGATTTGGGGAGGTGACATGACAAAATGCAGAGGGATCATCTCTGCATTCCCAAGACGGCCACCAACACCCCAGCAAGGTCAAAATCTATAGTGACCAAGGTCAAAGACTGGAGGCTCCTGTCTTTCTTGGTCAAAATGAGAAATGGTTTTGTTATGAATATCTGTTGATATGGACGGAGTTCAAGGATCTTTTCAGGTTGCCTGGATAAAAGGGAGGTTTCTAGAGCCAGGAAGTTTGTTCTTCCCACTTAAATGTACTTCCCTCAAGTTCAGGGTCACCAGGACAGGATCTCAGCCTGACAGGTTAGACTTATTTGCCATGGAGGCATGAAAACTTGACTAGGAAACACGTGGTGGTGCACTGGGGCCAGGGGGAGCAGGGGCCTGTCATGGCTCTGATGAAGACAGTGACCTCCTCTAGGCACAGTGGACTGACAGCGAGTTATGATCCTGCCTCAAAAAACCATGAGCTCCCTGAGACCAAGGGCTGCATCCTCATTCATCTGTCCTCCCTCTCCTGAGCATGGCCCTGGTATCTACTGTGCTCAGGGTACTATGCTAAATGAACAAACAAATGAACCAAAAGAAGAACTAGTGAGGGGAGCAGGGCCAAGGCAGCTCTTTCCCTCGGAGTCACATAACAGGTGGCAAAATAACCCAGAGCCAGCTGCTTTAAGGTCTCCATGAGCAACAGCACGTGGGCTGCAGCAAGTTTGCATCTGGACTGTGTTAAAAGGCCTGGTTGAGCCCAAGTCTCCCAGAACTCCATTGGAGGTGGTGGAACTTTTGAGGGGTGGGGCCAAGTGGGGAGGTCTTTAGGCCCCTGAGGATGTGCCCTTGAAGGAAACTGTGGGACCTGGGTCTCTTCCTCTTCTCTTTTTTATCTTGGTCAGGAGGTGAGTGACTTTCTCTGTTCCTCCTCGTGCTCCTGCTGTGACATGCTGCCATGCAACAGGCCCTAGGCAACGTGGCCAAGAGACCAAGGACTGACACCTCAGAAACTCTGAGCCAAGACAAACCTTTCCTGTTTATAAGCTGATCGTTGCAGGTATTTGTTATGGTGACAACACGCTGTATGCTGACCTACCCAAAGGCACTCAGAATAACAGCCCTTCTAACCTGGCCACTCACCTGGTCAGCCAAGGATGTAGACAGCATGCCCATGAGCTCCCTCTCTGCCGTCAGTCTCCACATCTGCTCCCATTTCATCTTCCGCAGCTTGTCCAGAAGCAGCAGAATCACCCCTGGGCAATGGCATAGGATAGGAGAGTAAGGTAACAGTAAGACAGAGAGACAGACATACCTGCTTGGCACAGCCACAGTCTCTCGGGGACAGTGTGTGGCATAGAGAAGAGGCCTAACTACTGCTACGGATAAGTGAGCTTTTTCCCTCCAAAAGCTCACCCAGTGAGGCTTCACCATCCGGGGTACATTTTGGGGGACAAACATACCAGTGTTCAACCCGGGCTCTGCCAGGTGCTTGCTCTGAGAATAAATCATCCCTCTGAGGCATTCTCATTGCACGAGGAAGCACCAAGACCCCCAGGGCTGCAGCGAGAACCAGTGGGGTGGGTGACTGTGCCTAGCCCCTTCTAGAGCTGGACTGTGGTGATGGCCGCAGCACAATAGGCCGTGGACTTCACGTCACTGAACTGCACCATAAATGCAGTTAAAATGGCAAACTTATGCACGCTTTATCCCAACAGTGACAGTGACGATCCCAGCTTGCTCTTGACAAGCAGTACCTTTATACAAGTGCTCGATTCCCCCTGCCTTTTTCCCTGGAGGTAGGACACTCTTAGTCAGTATGGCCGATACCTGTGGCCTAGGTACGACTTATCTTTACAGACAGAAACAGCTCCTCTGTGACTTTATTTGTCTTTGCAAATCTGCTTAACAATTATTGACAAGTGTGGGTCTGGCCTCAGTGTTTCCAATGGCCAGAGGGTCTTCTCCGGCTCATGCAGAGCCAGCATGTGTTTCAACTTCAGGTGAAGGCCATGCTGATGTTGGGTCTTTAAGATGAGCTCTAAAGTCTTTGGCCTCACAAGAAACTAATAATAGGAGCTGGATTCTTCCTCCTTCCCACCTTCTTAGGGTTTTTGTGGGGAGGGATCTGGGTGAATTGGGAATGGTACAGGGAGGGAAATTTCCACTGTTTATCCTTTGGTATTTTAAAGAATGCTTGCACAACTAAATATACTGCTCAGGCCAATTAATTAATTCTACAATTAATTAAAATCTAATTGGGAAGCACATCTTGGCTTAGGCGAGTGGCTTAGAAACAGCTGTCTACCAACAGGTTCAGTCCAAATGTGCAGAGAACGCCCAGAGCTGAGAACACGAACAGCCAAGAGAATGTCCCTGCAGGCCACTGCAGTCGGTGTGGCGGATGGAATGGTTACACCCAGGGGCTCCCCAATCAATCCTCTTCAGGATGCTTAGCTCAGCAGAACAGCCACTGGAGCAAACTCCAGGCGGTTGAAAAATGAACTCAGTCGATACCTGGTACATACATTTCTAAGGCTGTAGGAAGACTGATTTCCCCAAGTCAGACATAAATGGTGACTCTAAGACTTTTTACTTAATCAAGTGGCACATATTTGGGGAAAAAGTATATTCACCATTGAGTGAAGGGTGTTTGGTTGACAGAGTTGTACTAAAACACATGTATGGTGATGGGAAGAATTCGCAAGTCAGAAGGCCAATTTTATCTATCTCCTTTGGGCTTCATTAGGGCTTCTGCATATACTACTTCCTTAAAACCCCCAAGCTCTTTACAAGGTATTATCATCATCCTTAGTTTATCAGTGGGGAGGCTGAGGGGCTGACTCAGACACTTGTCCAACTCACAGTTTGAAAGTCACTATCAGACTCATTCAGTTCTGACTTTAAGGCCAGTGCAGCGCCTACCAGTCTACACCCTGTAGAGCCAAGGAAGGCTGATTCTCAGTTCCTACATGTGCCAAATGAGGAGAGTGCTGCTTGCCCTACACTACTCAGAGAACTGGCATGCCCTTTGTGATAGGCTGGTAGGCTTTACCCAACAACTCTACTGGAGAAAACCAAAACCTCCTCATTAGAAGCACATGCCAATTTCCATTGTGTAAATACCCCCAGTTAGGGTCATTTCAAGAGAGTTGTGTGATGTCATTGAACACAGAGCTGGGAAGGAATGCAAGACAACTGGCCCTCCTGAGCCATATGAGCAAGATCCAGCACACCACTGAAACTGTTCCCCAAATATGGACATATTTTTAGAAACAGTAAAATTTGCCACAGATGTATTATTTGATTGCTTCTTCGGGGAAAAAGGAAAGACCTTTACAAGTTAAAGAGAACATTGTGATGTAAGTCACTGGTGATTGATGCAAAAAAAATAGACTCTAGTCAAATGTGTGAAAGAGAATTTCATTATATCTTGTTGCAAAAATTAATTCTAATTAGGTTGGATCAAGACTCCAACATATAGAAAAAATGGGGGAGGGGATTTTAGAAGATCTAGATGAACATTTTAAAGACTCCAGAGTGATCCACGGTAGATCTGCCTGTCTCTGGGGGCTGAGTTGAGAACTGATATTTTTAAATGGTGCTAAGACTTGTTGAGCCTAAGTGCCAGATGTGACCCAGCACTGTTTGCTAGACTATTGGAAAAGGGGTGGGGTCAAGAACAGAGGACATCTCAGGCCACAAAATCAGGCTGAAGCTGGAGCTGGGGGCTGCGGTTGCCTTTGATAAAGAATGTCCAGAGGACTAAATGGAGAAACACAAGTCTGTTATCCCAGTGACCGAGACTTTAATTATGTGGTTTTAACTCACTTTTAAAATGATAAGTTATTTCAAACTAAGAGAAACTGATGTAAAAAACGCACAGAAACTAATGTAAAAAATACCCACCACTCAGAGATCTTCCAACTTATCCTACCTTCTCTCCTCCACGGAGGCAACCAGATTCCCGTGGTTGTTGTGCTTCATGTCAATGCCTGGTTTTATATTTTTATTCTCTATGTATATGACTACAACCAATATACGTTGGTTTTGGTGTTCTGCATCACCTATTTCCCATTTTGACTTGCCTTTCCACCCACTGTTATCTCTTTAAGATTTAATCATGTTGGGTTGTGTATCACTGTGTGTATATATTTTTTTAAGAGAGAAGACAGAGCAATATTTTTTTAAAGAGAGAGAGAGAGAGAGAGAGAGAGAGAGAGAGAGAGAGAGAGAATTTTTAATATTTATTTATTTATTTATTTTAGTTTTCGGCCGACACAACATTTTTATTTGTATGTGGTGCTGAGGATTGAACCCAGGCTGCACGCATGCCAGGCGAGCACGCTACCACTTGAGCCACATCCCCAGCCCCAGTATCACTGTATATTTACCTGTGTTAACTATAGGGAAAAAAATAAAGGAAAAACTTACTGGTATTAAAAAAAAAGAGATTTAACCATGTCAATATTTCAAATATGCAATTACTTCATTCATTTTATAAACATACCACAATTTTTTTTTGAGTATTCCCCTCCTGAACTATATTTGGTTATGGCCTATGTTTTTGCTGTTATAAACAATGCTGCAGCGGGGCGTGGTGGTACACGCCTGTAATCCCAGCAGCTTGGTAGGCTGAATCAGGAGGATTGCGAGTTCAAAGTCAGCCTCAGCAATGATGAGACACTAGGCAAGTCAATGAGAGCCTGTCTCTAAATAAAATGCAAAATAGGGCTGGGGATGTGTCTCAGTGGTCGAGTGCCCCTGAGTTTAATCCTCAGTACCCCCCAAAAAACCCCAAACCACCCCCATCAAAAAATGCTGCTTCAATGAACATCCTGATCCCAATTCATGTCTCCTTGGGCAAAGGCATGAGGATTTAGCCAGGAAATGCCTCCAAAGTTGTACAAGAACTGTAGTGTTGATGGTGCGACTTGTTCTGAAATGTCTCCAACTACTCCATCTTCCTTCTCTCTACTAGTCATGTCTTCACTGAGACTCACAGATTCCACACTTAAAATGGGTTTTACCTTTCTTCTTTCATTCATTCAAGTTATTTATTGAGCGTCTACTCTGTGCCGACCAATGGAGGCTGACTTGCACTTGGTTTTCTTCCTGTTGTTTCCCAGTCTCATGGGGTACATTTAAGATCTTAGTCAACATACATTTACCGGAGGGGCAACATTTGCCAGGCCTTTTCTGACTCCCACTCCACTAGGATTCCACGTGATCACTGCAGTCACTGAGGATGAGTGCTGCTTATTAATGGGACTTGGGGTGGGGGCGCTCACTGGGCCTGGCTGGGATCTGGTCAGGAATCTGGGGAAGGAGGTGGGGAGTCTGGGGAAGCAATGTGGACCAAGGAATGGAGGGAGGAGGCAGGGTGGCAAGACTGGATTATGCATGACCCAGAGAGTGCGCTGGTTAATATGGGATGCTATGGGGCAACTGCTAGAAGGTGAGCAGGGAATGGGTTGGAAAGTCTTCCATTTATGCATAGGTGCTTTCCAACCATCTCCATGCAATTTCCGAGATTAAAATGATGTTCTAATAACCCATGGGTGGCTTATGGACAGAAGGGCTGATCCAGGGGCTCCAGCTGCCCTGGCCCCAATCAAGTGCCCCAAAGCTCAGGGAATGTCACCCGTGTACGGCACACTGATTGGGAAATTCTGCTGAGGATACCTGGGAGCTAGAGAAGGGTTTTGAGCAAGGGAATGGCTGAGACTAAATTTGTTTTAGAAAAGCCAACCTAAATGCTTTATCAAGTCATTCCATAAGATCAAAGCCTCTGGTATCTCAGAACTGGTTTAAAGAAGCCCTGACCCTTGGCTAGGGCAGCCCCATCTGAGTTTTGCCACGAGTTAATTCTTTTCCTTTCCATCAGATCACTCCTTCCAGCAGAACTGGCACAATGGCACATGGGAATAGCAGCTTCCAGGCCTGCTGGTGCGCTGTCCTTGACCTTACAAGCCCACCACTGGGGCCCTGTCTGGCCTTTAATACAAGCCTTGAATTCAGAACTTATTTTTTCTGTAGTTCATTCAAGGAATTTTTTCACTGTTTTATTCACTGAGTTAACTGGGAACTGAGTGGAACACAATCCTTGTTTTTAGGGAGCAAAGCCTAACAGGGAAGAGGATGGTAACTAACAAGAGGCAAGATGCACCTTCCTGACCAATGGAAGGTGGTGGAACTGCTGTGGTCGTGGGGGGACAAGGAGCAAGGTTGCAGTCAAGGGGAAGCATCAAGGAAA